TCCCCCAGTGTGCCCCCCCCACTCGCCGGCAATAGCAGCTAATGAGCTAAATTAGTGCAAAATCCTTCAACTCCTGCTGCAGAACAGCATCCCCTCGTGGGACGGTGCAGATGGCCGCTCAGCCGCCGATCCACCGGAGGAAGAGAACAGAGCGACGGCTGTTGGGTACTTAGGCACAAAAAAGGCTTTTTTCTTCCACGGCGGGCACTTTTCATAGAGCTGTGCCCGTACAATGCCAGCGCGATGTCCTGTGTCTGTGAGCTCGATGCCAGGGCCACCCTGCTTCATATCTACGGCTCCCACTTCACGCATCACATGTCCGTCTCCATTATGGGCCGCTTCTCACGTGTAAAATATTTTTATGCTTGAGGGTTTTAGGTCCCGGTGGCTGAGCCTTTTCATCGTAGCCTCCTGCAGTGTCAAACAGGGAAGCGGATATTACGGCGAGTGGACATGTTTAGGGAAAGACGCTAGATTTACGAATCCTGGCAAGTTTCCTGTAAGCATGTCCCTGAACTGTGGCGTTTTGATTGCAGATGCCTGCGCCAGCAGGAATATTTCCAAAGCCGTTGATCTCCAATACTACGCTCTCCTTAATTAAACTTCCACGATACCACAGTGGCACCAAATGCACTGCGGTACTCTGTGTCATTAGCTAGTATGCTGCATTTCCGTGGGTATTTTTTGAAGTGTTGTTGAGACAAAGAAGTGACGCGTCTTTCAGTAGCAGGTAGTCAGCTGACCCTGGGCTGGAGGTGACCACTTCACAGCGCTATGCTTGTGGGATGTGAGACGACGCACCTTCTGTGAGTCGTCACTTAGTCAAATACTGCAAGGTGTTTTGTTAAGGCAACTGACCTTCATGCATTATTGTGCTGGTAATGATGTTTATATTAACTGTGACTGTTCCTTTGTTCGTGGAAGGCAACAGCCAACCTGGAAAATCAAGTGCACTTTAATATGCTCATCCTGAGTGAGGACACAGGGTTTTAGCATGAATTAGCAAATGCCTTACTCAGTCTGTCCTCCAGAGGGGGCTCTGTTTTGCTTCCTGTGGAACGGTTCCGATTGTTATTGCTTATTTGAGTTCTTTGAGGAGGGAAATGTAGGTTAAGCCCTCTGATGCAATTCTTCTGCTTTGTGGGGGCATGGAGCTTTGATTCTGAAATGGACGCCTGTGTTTTCCTCCCACAAACGCAAGTGAAATGTGTCAAAACCATTCAGGCTGTGGGGGTACCAGGGCAGCGCTGGAAAAAACTATAAGCAAACCCTTGACCTTCTGCTCCCTAATTACGGACTAACTGCTCACTGCCTTTGTGGTGTTAATTATTATTTTATTACTAAAAATCCATTAGCATTAAATGAGCAGGGGGTGAGTGAGCTGTTTTCCAGTAGGATGTGGAGAAGAGGAAGCCATTGCATGCTGTTGATTTCTTCATGCAATTGGCAGAAGTAATACAACTAAATAACTTAACAAATGATGGGGAAAACTCCCAAAATTGACTCCTCTTACGCTATTGTGAATCTTTAGCTTGTAGCCACCATCTACAAGCTAAGGTGTAGGTAGGGATGCTGTTGTGGATTTTAGGCCCCATGAAAGTTTGTCATGTTGGGCCCCCGCTGAGTACAGCACAGAACAGGAGCAATGAATGCTGGGTGAGACGTGTACAAAGGCAATTCATTGTATTAATATTGCTAAACTAGAGCTTAATTAATCCACAGCGATTGCATCTTATGGTTCATGGTTCTGTGACTTTGCCTGTCTTCTTTGGTTGGGGGGGGGCAGTAAAGTGCCAGAAACTAGGGCTACTCTCACTGGGCAGAAAGGTCAGTTGTCTGGCTGGATCATTGCTGCATTTCATCTTGATGGTGCACCGGGCAAACTGAAGGCTACCCCCACTGCACATACCCCCACTGCACATACCCCCACTGCACATACCCCCACTGCACGGTGACATTTTACTTTCTAATGTGCCATTCTAAATGGAGATTTTGTCTGGAAAACACCTGTCAGGGAGGACCAGCCGGCCCCCTGATTCAGCTGGAAAGAACTCAAAAGGTCAGTGATGTGAGACTATAGTCTCAGTTTCTTAAAGCAGATTGGCTTCACCTCTATGCTCACATACTGTATCTCCAGATAAGAGAGCAGCTGCATTATGGGATTTTGGACAAAAACGCTCTGGGTCACCCTATCCCTCAGCTGAAAGAAACCCATAATAAGATTATCCGTTCGAGTTTTATTTTGGCCACAAACAAGGTCATGCTGGTCAGTGTTACTTTTGGAGTCGATATTTATTTCGATGTAGAAAGACTTACCTATGTGTGTTCACCATGACAACAACATGAAACTTCACAGTTAAAGCAACAGCATCATGTTTCATGTAGGAAACCATTGCTGTTGCTATGGTCACTGTGGACCCAGTTGCGATTAAAGAAGGATGAACACGGATGATAAGTCATTGATCTTTGTACAGCCACATTGGAATTCTTCTCTTTGCCTTCCTCACCATGCTCTTCATAGCTTGGGGGGTGACAGCGCCGGATCTGCCTATAGGCAGTGGCCCCAGAGCTGGGGGTTAAGGGCCTTGCTAAAGGGCCCACAGACATGTGACTGTTCTGCTGAGGCCGGGACTCAAACCAGTGATCTTCTGATCACAGGCACAGAGATTTAGCCCATTGAGTCACTCCCCAGCACCTAGGGAAAATTATTTATTGTCCAATGGGATTGCAAACAATATATAGTCACAGTGCAATACTTTCACCAAGACAAACTAACCAATGGCACAGTGCATTTTACAATTCAGAAGGTAAAAATGAGGCAAACATGAACTTAAAAGACATGCATGGTTTAGGGCGGGTGTTATAGTACAGTGATGAGCCACAAGGAGTTGAATTAGTGTCTCCTGAGAGATGTGGAGAGCATAACCACTGACCAGACGAGTGGTACGGAGAAGCATCTAAGGTCTTCAGCATCTTGGGGAGATGAGCCCACGGTAGAAGGTGCTCCCCAGCTGTGCCAAGCTGGTGTCGAGAAAATGGGCTTCATTTTGCAGAATGGAGCGGTTTGGACACCTTCCTTACGCTGTCACTTCCAGGGACAGATTCAGTCCTACTGAGTGAGCTTTCCTCAAAGCTCTATTCAGGCTGCAAGGTCCTTCTTCATGTTGTGCAGAACAACATGGCCCTGGCTACATAGGGCATCGGAAGGGCATGGATACCCTGGCAGATCCGGGGGGGGGGGCAGCACT